GCGGCATGCAGGTAGTCAGACAGAGGGGGGGGAGCAACGACAAGGGAGGACGGAGGGGGTGATGGGAGAAAGGGAGGACGAGACGCGTGGGAACGAAGCAACATAGGGTGAGAGCGCGAGACAGGCGAGGCAGGACGAGCACGGGAGGGACGGCGAGACCAGACGTGAGACGGAGGAGTCGGGTCAGGAGACAGAGGAGGGGACACAAGAGGGGAACGAGGGGGGTAACGGGCCGGAGACGAGTCCGGAGGAGGGAACACAGGGCCATGGACAGGAGGAGGAGGAGGAGGCACAGGCACGGGGTCAGGGGACGGAAAGCCGAGCAGGCAAAGAGCGGACACTGGCGGGGACTCCTGCGGCGGCGGTGTGACACCGACACAGGGACCGCAAGCGGCCTGGCGGCTACCTCCAGAACACTCCACGCCAGCACCCCCAGAAGGAACACCCCCAGAGCTCAGAACCCCTTGAGCACCGGTACCACCCCCAGGCCCGCCGGGACAAGCCACGACAGGAGTCCCAGGACTAGTACCCACCCCAACTCCAGCACCCCCTGAGCCAAAGAGCTGCTGCGGCGACGGCTGCGGCGGCGGCGGCTGCAACGACGGCTGCGGCGGCGGCGCCGGCGGTGACGACGGCTGCGACAGCGGTGGCGACGGTGGCTGCGGAGGCGGCGGAGGAGGAGACACCTGAGAAGGAACAGGCGGCGAGGACTGCGCCGCAGGACCACCAGAGTCAGCAGACTCCTCAACCGGGACAACCGACGGGAGTGGGGTGACGTGGGACACACCAGAGGGGGCAGGACGGGGAGGGGGAGGAGGAGGGGCAGCGACGACCAGGGAAGGGGTGACCAGGAACAGGGGGGGGTAACCGGGGGACCTCGGTGGGGGAAGCGGCGGAAGAAGGAGACGGACTTGTCAAAGGTGACGTCACGGAAGTGAAAGAACCGGTGAGACGGCGGGTGGTAGAAGTGCCAGTCAGACGCGTCAAGGGGGAAGCCGAGGAAGACACAGAGAAGGGTGCGGGCAGTGAGCTTGTCCGTGCCAGAGGCACGAACGTGAGCAAGGCAGCCCCAGACGTGGAACGCAGACGCGTCACCAGGTGACCCAGACCAGAGGCTGCTGGGAGTGCGGCCACAGGTTAAGGTGGTGAGAAGCGTAGCGAATGGCGAACGGCCACAGAAAATGGGGTGCCCCGGCATGGATTATGGAGATGCGAGCCACCTCCATGACCAAACCGATGCGTCGCTCAGCGACCCCATTCTGTTGCGGGGAGCCCGGCAAAGTGAACGTCTGGGTAATGCCCTCCGCACGACAGAAACGACCAAGGACACCAGAGGCAAACTCGCCACCACGGTCGGAGTGGAGACGCAAGACAGGGAGACCGCGGTGGACACGCGCAGAGACAAGCCACGGGATAAGAACGGCAGGCACGTCGGCCTTCCGCTCCAGGGGGAACACAGTGGTGTAGCGCGTGTAGTCGTCGACAAGCACTAGGAAGTAGCGCTCTCGACGCGGCCCATGGACGGGGGCGGGGCCCCAGACGTCCATGTGCAGAGTCTGTAGTGGTGCTGCAGTAGGGGGAAATGAGAAGGATTGAGGGGCACGGCAGAGCCGGCCCTCGACACAGGGCGTGCAAGGTTGGGCTGGGGAGGAGGGAAACTTGGGGAAAGACCCGGGGAGGCCTAGGACGAGACCGTGCTGTGACATGTGACGCAGACGCAGGAGCGCAGGGTGACCTAGGCGGTTTTGCCAGAGAAGAGTCGGGTGAGTGAGAGACCGATAGGAGCAGGCAGTAGCAACCGGGGGAGACGCAGTCACCTGAGGGGGGGTCCCAGCCGAGGGGGTCACCGTGTTCTGTGTGAAAAGACCGGACGCCGGGTCCCGTCGGAACGTGGACAGGGGGGCACCAGTTGCGGCCTCGGTACAAACAGCGTACCGCTCGTGTCGAAGGAACGTAGTGGTGACGCCAAGGTCCTGGAGACAGCCGACACCAACTAGGTTCCTGGAGAACAAGGGGATGTGCAGTCCTGTGAGCGAGCCCGAAGGAACCGCCGGGCAGGGGAGGGTGGTGGAACTACGGGCGACTACTGGGCCGGAGGAGGGATCAGCAAGAAAGACTGCGGCAGGGACAGGAAGCGGTGTCAACGTGGTGGAGTCGCAGAAGAAGCACCCGGAAGCGCCAGAGTCGAGGGTGAAGGAGAGCGCGGCAGTGGCGGCCAGAGGCGAAGCAGCGACGGAAGCACCAAGGCTAAACAAAACGGGGGATCCTACGCATGACGCAGCAGGGGAGTCTAAGCAAGGCACACCTACACTGGGCAACAAGGGGTAATAAGACGGAAGCACACTAGAGTCATCAGCATACATCGCATGCAGAGCAGTAACAATCTCATCCATATCCAGATAAAAAATCTGAACCCTATGACGAAGCAAACTGTGCCAGTGTGGGAGCTCGGGCGACGGGCCGAAACACTGACGAAACAGGTCGTCCAGGCGATGGAAACAGCGGATGGAGGTGTGACCGATCTTACCGCAAACGAAGCCACGGCGAGGACCGGTCTGGAGCAGGTACTGACAGCGCGCGTCACCCGAACCACCACCCGGCAGCCCACCACGGGCACCACCACCACGTCCAATGCTACCACCAGCGCCAGGCCACCTGGGCGGGAGACCACTCGCCCGTCTCTGCTGCGGCTGCGACTGCTGCGACTGCTGCGGCTGCTGCGGCTGACGTGATCCGGCTGCAACGCCGGCGGCTGCTGAGACGGCTGCCTGGCTGCACCTAGCAGGGTCCCCTCATCCGCACCACCACCAGGAGACCCAGCTCCAGCACCACCTATACCTGCACCCCCACCCCCGCCGCCACGCCCAGCCTTGGGGCGGCGACCCTTCCCCCGACGGACCTGTGCTGCAGCGCCAGTCTCAGCCATAGCAGCAGAACCGTAAGAGAAGGTGCACTGAGCAGGAGCGCAGCCCTGAAAGATAGGGACCGGCACAGTACCGCTGGTCTAAGCGATAGAGCGGTGGCGGGCCTCTATAGTGGACAGGGTGTCAATAAAGTCAGTGAGGGTGAGGTCTGCGGGGTGGACGCTAAGGAAGTGGTCACGGGAAGTGGCAAGACGGTCAGGAAGGCGGGTGGATAGCAGGTAGAGAGTAGAGGTGAGGGGCGGCTGGTGGGCTAGAAGCTGTGTGGGAGTGCAGGCAGCACGCTAGGTCTCATCTATAGTGCGCAGGTGAGCGGCCGGGTCGGCGACAGTGGGGAACACACAAGGTCAGGGAAGAGCATGGGGAGGATCAGACGACCGACCGAGGCAGCAGGCGGGGTGGAATAGCGCTGGACAACAGCACCTAGGAAAGCCTGGGCAGTGGTGATAGACCTGAAGCGAGGTCGCTCGGACAGAGGGAGGGCATTGCTAATAGCCAGCTGTGCGACAGCGTCAAGGGACAGCCAAACAGAACGAGCAAGGGCAGCAGCCGCAGCGGACGTACGCTCAGCGGACGAGGGATCAGCAGACAGTGCAGCGGGGGGGTCAGGGCAGAGGAGAGTACTGTGAAGATGGACAGACAGAGAGTGGCCATCCTGCCGCTGACCAGTAAGTTGGCGACGGAGGTCAGCGAGCCACGCACCAAACTCAATCGGCTGGCCCTCAGCGTCAAAGCGAAGCACCTCTGCCATCAGTGACAATAGAGGGCAGTGGAGAGCAGTACAGTGCGGTGCAGTGCGGCGCAGTGCGGTACAGTGCGGTGCAGTGCGGTGCGGCGCGGTGCAGTGCAGTGCAATGCGATGCAGTGCGGTGCAGTGCGGTACAGTGCGGTGCAGTGCGGTGCAATGCGGTACAGTGCGGTGCAGTGCAGTACAGTGCGGTGCAGTGCGGTAGAGTGCGGTGCAGTGTGGTGCAAGGCGGTGTAGTACGGTACCGGGGGGTTCGCAGGGCGGTGCTGATCGGGAAAAACGGGCCGACCCCGAGGCAGCAGCGGGCTGGCGACGACGCGACTGTCGGGGCGGGCCGACGGGCGACGGACGCGAGGGACCAGCAAACGGCGGCAGCGGGGGGGGAGGGGGGGTGGCTAGGAGCTGGCGCGACGGCGAGTAGAGCCGGCCGCGACAGCGGCCAGGGATAGCCGCGACGGCGGCTAGGGGCGGCCGCGACGGCGGGAGCGACCGTGGGGCGGCTGGAGACGGCAGCGACGGCGGCTAGGGGCGGCCGTGAGCCGGCTGGAAACGGCCGCGACGGCAGCTAGGGGCGGCCGCGACGGCAGGAGCGACCGTGGGGCGGCTGGAGACGGCAGCGACTGCGGCTAGGGGCGGCTGCGACGGCAAGGGGCGGCCGTCTAGAGGCGGGCGCAAACTGCCAGAGGGCCAGCTAGGGGCGGGCGCGAACGGCCAGGGGGGGGGCCGGCTAGGGGCCGGCGCGACGGCCAGGGGGTCGGCTAGGGACGTGCGCGACGGCCAGGGGCCCTGCTAGGGACAGGCGTGATGGCCTGGGGGCCGGCTAGGGACGGGCGCGACGGCCAGGGGGCCGGCTAGGGGCGGGCGCGACGGCCAGGGGGCCGGCTAGGGTCGGTTGCGACGGCCAGGGGGCCGGCTAGGGGCGGGCGCGACGGCCAGGGGGCCGGCTAGGGACGGGCGCGAACGGCCAGGTGGCCAGCTAGGGACGGGCGCGACGGCCAGGGGGCCGGCTAGGGACGGGCGCGACGGCTAGGGGGGCCGGCTAGGGACGGGCGAGACGGCCAGGGGGCCGGCTAGGGTCGGTCGCGAACGCCCAGGGGGCCGGCTAGGGGCGGGCGCGACGGCCAGGGGGCCGGCTAGGGACGGGCGCGAACGGCCAGGGGGCCAGCTAGGGACGGGCGCGACGGCCAGGGGGCCGGCTAGGGACGGGCGCGACGGCCAGGGGGCCAGCTAGGAGCGGGGCAAGACGGCGGCTAGGGCCTAGGGGCGGAAGCATGGGCGGGCTGGGGGTTGGCCTAACCTACTATGATACCATATCAGAATGAATAATTGAACTAGAATGTGTGAGTACAAGTGTTGTACCCTCTAAGGCACAATCCAGTATAGTCTACAGTAACGACCTAAGTTACATTTGACACCCCCCTGCAGAAAAAGCCAAGGCCCATGTGGCCTGCAACACATGTCACAGGGGGGCTGCACGACGCGCCATGCTGTCAAAAAATTTCGCCTCGAGCCTGCATTGGCTACTTCTCTCGGGCAACCAATAGGATTTGTGAAATCCTCTTCTGTTTCCCGACAGTTCGGGGCACTGGGACGTTTCGTTTTTTCGCCATGTTTCGGGACTTAGTTTTTTTGCACCCACTCAACTATCAAGAGGGACCCCCCTCTACTATTTTGCCATTGGGTTTCAAGCAGGAGTCCAGCACTCTAGTCCAGCACCTTTGCCTCGCCCTCCGCTGTCCACTTGACCTCCACTAGCACGCCTCGAGGGCAGAGGTGAGCTTGAAGAGGAGGGGGATAGGCGGAGGAAGGGAGGGGGGGGAGGGGGCTTTCATCTCCACTCACCCCCGGACTCCTTGCCTCTTCCATCCCTTTCAAAACCGTCTCCGTTGTGCCCCTTCCTCGTCGCCCCATTTTTTTCACCCCACCTCTCTTGAGCCCACCGCTTCCACCACCAGCATTCCTCAAGAGAAGAGCTGAGCATCAGCAAGGGAGAGAGAAGATGAGGAGGCAACGGGTCCTATCTGGACTCAACCACCCTACACCCCTTCCTCCTCTTCTAAACCCATCTCTTCCACCACCAGCACTGCCCTTGGGCACAGCTCGGCATCAGCAAGGGAGAGAGAAGAGTAGGAGGCGAGGGGTCCTATCTGCACTCAACCACCCTACACCCCTTCCTCCTCTTCTAAACCCATCTCTTCCACCACCAGCACTGCCCTCGGACACAGCTCGGCATCAGCAAGGGAGAGAGAAGAGGAGGAGGCAAGGGGTCCTATCTGCACTCAACCACCCTACACCCCTTCCTCCTCTTCTAAACCCATCTCTTCCACCACCAGCACTGCCCTCGGACACAGCTCGGCATCAGCAAGGGAGAGAGAAGAGGAGGAGGCGAGGGGCAGAAGGCGACGAGGGAAAGGGGTGGCAAGGATGGCGCGAGAGAGGGGGACGGGGAGGAGGTCCGTGTAAGGGAGTGTGTGGAGCTGAATGAGAAAAAGGAAAAAGGGAGGGAGGGGGGGGAGGGGAGGGGAGGCAGGGAGGGGCACAATGAAAAAAGGCACCGGCAAGGAAATCATGGGTAGAGGAGGCGCGGAAAAGGACAAGGTTCCAATTAGGTACTATAGTGCACATGGTACTGAACTATAGTGCACACGGTACTGTTCTATACACCTGCTCTCCTATACACCCTGAGTGCACATGGTACTACAGTACTATACTGCACTATACACCTGGTGGACAGAAATCTGCAGCAGCAAGAAAAGAGGGGATGGGCGAAGCAGGCGAAAAAGAGGGAAGGGGAGGAAGGGGAGGTTACGGAAATTGGAGAGTGCATGACATGAGTCATCGTGGAAAACGGGCGAGGGAAGGTCAAGGAAGGATGTGGAGGGAAGTCGAGAGAAGAGGGGAGAGGAGAAGAGAAGAGGAGAGAAGAGGGGAGAAGGGGAGAGAAGAGAAGAGAAGAGAAGAGGAGAGAAGAGGGGAGAAGAGGAGGGAAGAGCAGAGAAGAGGAGAGACTAGGAGAGAAGAGGAGAGGAGAGGGGAGAACAGGGGAGGAGAGGAGAGAAGAGGAGAGACGAGGAGAGACGAAGAGAAAGGAGGAGAGGGGGACGAAGGGTGGATGGAGGAGAGGAGAGCAAGGGATGAGGGATGAACAGGACCGCCACACTTCCCACTGCATGCGGCTCCAGCAGGCAGCCCCACTGCCACCCCAGCCAGCTTTTGAGTCGACTCGAAAGCAAGCACAGCCAGCACAGCCAGCAACCCCAACACAGAGGAGTCGTTTTTTAGAATTCTAAAAAATGACTCCTCTTGAGTCGACTCGAAAGCAAGCACAGCCAGCACAGCCACCACCACCTTTTGTTGAATTCAAGTCAAAAGGACTAACTAAGGAGTGCATACTTACCCACCTGCAGATGGATCCGATCGTGTCTCTTCTCCACCGCTCCCAACCCAACTGCACATGACACTCTCTCCTCCTTGCCGCGTCACTAACTCAGGACTACATACATGGGTACATACGTGCGTGCATGCATACATACATACATGCGTGCGTGCGTGCGTGCGTGCGTGCGTGCGTGCGTGCATGCATGCATGCATACATACATACATACATACATACATACATACATACATACATACATACATACATACATACATACATACATACATACATACATACATACATACATACATACATACATACATACATACATACATACATACATACATACATACATACATACATACATACATACATACATACATACATACATACATACATACATACATACATACATACATACATACATACATACATACATACGTACGTGCTTACATGCATGCGTTGCGTGCATGCCTACATATGTACATACATACCCAGTTGTAAACGTCTCCGATCGTGTCACTTCCCCGCCACCCCCGCTTGCACACGGCTCCATCTGGCAGCCGCACTGCCACCACCACCCTCTCCTCACTCGCCACGTCAGCTCCTGGCTCGGGCGGCAGCATTCGTCTGTAGTGCTCCCTGCGTTCCTGGTAGGAAAGGGACAGGATGATCAGCCGCAGGAATGAAAAAGGGAGCAGGGATGAGGAGGAGCGTGCAGCCAACGGGAACAGAAGGTGTGTATAGATCGAGTTAGGTCATTGGGCAAAACACAGGGGTTGTTGCTGGTAGGAAGGTCGACCACATGCACTACGCATGCATTGCTAAATCAGGTCAACGCTTAAACTTAACCCCCATCCCAGAAACAAATGCGTTGCTAAAACAGCTCAGCCCTAAAACCAATACCCCAAACCCGGAACCCTGTGCGTTGCCAAAACAACTCTACTCTAAAGCTTAAACCCCAAACCCGGGATCCCTAAGCTTGGAGTCTCAAGAAACGACATTCTCACCTCTACTATCCGTGTTCGCTCCTCTTCTGCTCTCCTTTTCTCCTCCTCGCCCTTTCGTCGTTGCTCCTCCTCTCTTCTTCTCTCGTCTGTTCGCCTCTCCTGCTCCTCCTCCTCCTTCCTTCTCTCCTCCTCCTCCCTTCTCCTCCTTTCCTCAACCTCTCTGTCCCTTCGCAAAGAGGCTGCATAGGCTGCGTCCTAGAAAAGGCGATTGAGGGGAACACGAGGGGAACATAAGGATGGACGATGTCAGGCAGTGGGACGAGGACGAGGGACAACCAAAAGGCTGAAAAGGCTGTGTGCGCTGCGCACCGGGAAAGGTGAGAGAGATTTGGTTAAAAAAACAAGGACAGTGTACACAAGCAAGCAGGACACAGAGAGGCTGCATGGGCTGCATGGGCTGCATGGGCTGCATGGGCTGCATGGGCTGCATGGGCTGCATGGGCTGCATGGGCTGCATGGGCTGCATGGGCTGCATGGTCTGCATGGTCTGCATGGTCTGCATGGGCTGCATGGTCAGCGTGGTCTGCATGGTCTGCATGGTCTGCATGGTCAGCGTCCGGAAAGAGGGTGAGAGAGATTTGAGGGAAGGGGGTAAGCACGATGGACGGGGAGTAGTACTAGTAACACGGAACAGGGACAACAAGAAGTGAAGATTATGCTACATGCGACCATGCTGACCCTGCACGGAACCAAAAAGAGATCCTCCCTGCCCTGAAGTGTATGTACCTGCCGCTTTCTCTCTTTCTCGGCCTCCAGCGATGCACCTGACCTCCACCCTCCCGCCTCCACATGCACTCGCCCCCCTCTCACAACGTCGCTCATCCCACTCTCCTCCCCTCCTTCCCCTTCTGCCTCTACCTCTCCTGCCTCTCCCACTCTCCCTCCCTCTTGTCCTCTCCCTCCTCCCCTTTGTCGCCTCACAAGCCCAGCAACCGCAGATGCACCTGCGCTGTCCCCCTTTGCGCTGTCCCCCTTTGCGCTGTCCCCCTTTGCGCTGTCCCCCTTGGCGCTGTCCCCCTTTGCGCTGTCCCCCTTGGCGCTGTCCCCCTTTGCGCTGTCCCCCTTGGCGCGGTCTGCACTAACCCCATCCGTGCTATTCCCACTTCTGCTGCTCCCTCCTTCGCCACTTCCGCCCTCCCTGCTCGGGTCTTTGAGCTGCTGGCCTTCGGATTGCTGGTCCTGGTTCTTCCCACTGGGCCCTGTGGATCGCAGCGAGTGGCCTCGGCTTGCCTCGATTGCTGCCACCGCTGCTCTCCGCGCCTCCTCCCGCTGCTGTGCCTGCAAGCGCACCTGCAAATGGTTGGTTGGGGAAACGAGGATGCAAAAGGATTAAACGACTAGACACCTATTGAGTTCAAAGGACATGCTTTCCTCCCCAACAAGGCGGTGACATGTCCTCCTCCTTGAAGCCCGAGTCTCATATTTGATAAGATTGCTCGCTGCTGCTTTCCTTCTCTGCGCCTTTCCTTTCCCGTCGTCCTATCCGCCCATCTCCCCAAACCTGCTCGCCCGCTCACCCACTCACCCGCTCACGCGCTCACTTGCTCCCATCAGCAGCTTTCGCCTCGTCCTCTAGTCGCCGCTGCTGTCCCTCCTCCTGTCCCTCGATCCCTCCTCCTTCCATCCCCTTCCTCTCCCCCCCCCTTTTTCTCCACTCTCTTGCTCCTCAGCAGCAGCCTTAGCCTCCTCATCCAGTCAGCACTACTGCCTCTCCCTCACTCCAAAAATCTCCCTTGACCTTCCTTCCCTTCTCTTCCCTCTCCTCCTCCCACTACTCACTCGCTCCTCAGCAGCAGCCTTCGCCTCGTCGTCCAGTCGCCGCTACTGCCTCTCCTCCTGTCCCTCCATCCCTCATTCCCTTCTCTTCCCTCCCCTTTCTCACCCCCCCCCCCCTTTCCTCCACTCACTCGCTCCTCAGCAGCAGCCTTCGCCTCTTCGTCCAGTCGCCGCTGCTGTCTCTCCCTCACGCCCAGCACGACCTCCTCTCGCTCCGCGGTTGCTGTGAGAGGGGAGAGGCCGAGAGGGGAGAGGCCAGGAGGGGAGAGGCCGGGAGTGGAGAGGCCGGGAGGGAAGACGGCGCGATGAGATGGGCTTTGAGTCGACTCAATAGTCGCCGCTGATGTCTCTCCCTCACGCCCACCACGTCCTCCTCTCGCTCCGCGGTTGCTGTAGGAGGGGAGGCAGGGAGGGAACCCTGAGATCTGAAGAATCTCTGAAACGGAGGGTGAAATAATCTCTGAAAGAGAGGGTGCAAGAATCTCACAAGGTTCTCGTTCCAACAAGATTCTCTCATGTGGCATCTGATCCTCCAATCTCTCGAACCCCCAGCGATAGGCAGGTGTAAACGAAAAACGTCAAGAGAACGGAGTCAGGGCAGATGCAAGGAAATATCAAGGCCGAAAAAACTGTGAACCAAACGAAGGCGTTTTGAGGGCTTGAAGGAAACTGATTATTCTGCAAATGTCTAATTGTCTACGAGGCCCCGCACTAACGCGTATGATAACTCGCCTGATTCAGACGGTGGTCGATTCCATCGCGAGGCGAACAGACTGAGATACCGGACCGGTAAGAGTAGCCAGTCAGCCGTTATAGTTATGACGACCGTCACAGACGCTGCTAGGAGCGCGGCCTCCGCAACCGCATGGAAATTGGCTAAAACGCGAACCCAGGCGAAACGCGTGCCGTCGTCATAGAACGATCGGTACTGTTGGAAGTGACTATAGAGAAAGGCAACCGCGGCGCCGAAGCCGGCGAGGATAGCGGTGACTGTCGTATTAGACAGGCGCATTATGGGAAGATAGGAACTCTGGAATATACAATGGCGACAGGAAGCAGACGTGGAAGAATCGATTTGCTTGTCACGAAAGTCTGAAAACATCCGAGTCCAGCAGTAACCCTGCATCTCCGACATTGCGGGCATCGACAGACGTCGAGGTGTAAACGGAGGGGCATATATTCAGATTCAAAATGTTATGAATTAATCAGAGTAATAACAGGTAGTGTAATTAAGGAGTCGTGATTCAAGAGTGTCGATACAAATGAGGGCCTAGGCATTTATATGCACGAACAGAGCTAGCCGAGAACCACGCGAACAGGTTGGGGCAATCCAGTTGGCGAAAGCTACGGAAGTGTCGCGCGTCTAGGTTTGGGTTCGTGAAGTGGTTCGGGACCGAAGAAGTTGGCCGAGCCTGGACTTCCGAGAGTCGAGTGCGTACGCGCTGTAGTTGAGCCCAGTAAGGAAAAGGGAATTTCCTTACACCATCTCCCCTTCCGGGAGGAGACTACCCACATCCGGGACACGTCGTCGGTGTAAATAGTCCCGTAGAACTATGTTTTCACAGAGCGTGGTTGCGGGAACCCAGACGTCGTCGACATTTGTGCGATCGACCCATCGTACAAGGAAATCGACGGCTGCTGTATCTCGATGTCCCCGTACGCGATAGCGAGAATCTTGGACGGTGCTGTCGTCGGCTTGGGTATTGGGTTAGACCGTATGATTAATGTGTTGACGGTCGATATTGGTCGCACCCGGGACGAACAGTCGCAGGAGACTGACGTGGAACGAATCATGAATTCGCCAGTCGGTCGACAGTTGCAACAGGGCGGTGACTGGTGTCACCATACGAAAGTTGCGGAAGGGGCTGCAAAATATTGGTCGTAATTTATTTGGGAGGGGGATTCCCGAATTCCTAGTGTCGAGCAGGACCAATTGCCCAGGGACAAGTGTCAAGACTCGGCGTCGTCGGTCAGCTTGCTCTTAGCCCTCTAGTTGGCTTTTAGAATGGCATCGGCGACTTTTTGCTGAGACTGTCAGAGATTTTCTACGAACTGCTGAGACCTTCGTGCCGGATTTTCTATCGGTGGTGATAGAGGGGTTGTCAGATCTATCCCATGATTAAGGAAGAACGGGGACTGAGTAGTCGTGGCCGATGGGGCATTGTTGTACGCAAACTCGATCAAGGGAATGGCGTCTTCCTAATGCATCAGGTCTGTGCATGTCGTGCGAATCAGCTGCTCCATCGTCTGGTTGGTGCACTCAGTCTGATCATCAGACTGTTGGTTGTACGCCGTGGACAAATGCTGTGCCATACTACTGCAAGGTTTTTGTCAAGAAGTTGGACGTGAACCGTGGGTCACGGTCGCTAAAGATTGCCGATTGGATGTCGTGTAGCTGCACGATGTTCCTGAGGAACAGTTTCGTTGTCTGTTCGGCAGTAATTGTCGTCTTGCAGGCGGCAAAATGGGCCATTTTTGTGAGAGTGCGACCCCGTTACACCACTTGTCCCTTTCCTTATTTCCTTCCTCTTTCATTTATCTTTTTATCCCATCTCATTTGATTTCCTATTCTCCATTTCCCATTAAACCTTTGGTTTATCCTGCTATCATAATTATATCACCGACCAGGCTTGGGATGTACTGGTGCGCTATCTGGCGTAATCCGGCCGTAATCCCTTAAAGCCAATAGCCTCGCGTGGCTATACGCAGGGTGATTCTATCTTCTAGAAGGGTCTATTCCCTTACGATAAGATAAACCTGGTTACCTGATGTACTTTGGAAGTATAAAAGCACCTTGTACTGATCGATAGTGCAACCTTTCCTCGACACATCCGATCCTGTGACACTTGGTAATCAGAGCTTTTCTCACTCGACCGCGCTCAGCTAAGCAGCAGCAGCAGCGGGGGATCCTGCCTCGAAAAACCGCCGGGGGCGACCAATTCGACGCCGATTCTGGTAAGCACCAGCTCCGCGTTTTTTCGAATTACCCCCTCTGCGCGTGTTTTTGAACAGGATGGCGAACTTCGACAACGCCGAAGTTACCCAGCAGCTCTTCGCGCGCATCGCAGCCCTTCAGGAGGAGATGCGAGCGGGCCACGAAGCGTGGCGAAACGAGTTCGAGCGAGTAACTCGACTCGCCGGAGCGCACCACGACTCGACAACGGCGACAACGCAGCAGTCGCAGCAGTTTCTCGAGGCTCCGAAACCGCGCCCACCTGAGCCATTCGATCCGAGCGATCGAAACTCCGACGTCCGCAGATGGATCGCCGGCATGGAGATCTACTTCGCAGCCGTCGGATGGAGCTCGCCAGCCTGGGACGGTCAACGCGTACGACTTGCGGCGACACTGATGCGAGGGCCGGCACTCGAGTGGATTGGCGGCAACAGTACCTTCATCCACGGTGAAGCCACGTGGCAGCAGTTCCGCGCCGACCTGCTGAAACGATTCGAGCCGATAAATTCCAGTTTCCTTGCCCGGGAAAAAATTCATCGACATCGACAGTTCGGGAGTGTAGCGCAGTACACGCAGCAGATGGAGGAATTTTATAACCGCATTCCCGACCTGACCGAAGGGGAAAAAGTACAGTCGTACCTCGCCGGGCTGAAGACCGAAGTCAAACGACAGGTGGCAGCGTCAAACTACGCGAGCTACAGTGACGTCGTATCGGCCGCGGAGCGCTTCGACATGGTCAACGCCGGAACACGACGGACGCACGTCGGCAGTACGCGACAGGGCGACGGCTCGGCTCACCCCACGTTCGCCGACCCGATGGAAGTCGACAGATTCGAGGGTCGGCCACGTCCGAAAAACACCAACTACACGTGTGATTTTTGCGGGGTGCCGGGTCATCGAATCTTCGACTGCAACAAAATGAAAACCGCACGCGCAGAGTATCGGGCACGCAACAGTGGCGGAATTCCTTTGGCCAATCAGAAGACAAAAAACGGGAGTCGCCAGTGATTGCGGATCTAGCTGGCGAAAATAAAAAGATCCGGAAGCGGCCGCGGGATTCCGGGAAAATCGACTTCGACGAAGCTGATTCGACGCGAGAAGGAGGAAATGATGGGGAAAAATCTCCACCCCACGACCAGTCTTCGCCAGGGAAAATCGCCGAGGAAAAATACGACTCCGCGAAAAAAGACTCTGCCAAGACAGGGAAACTCATTGAAGACCCAAGAAATTATAAGGATTCGTTAAAGTTATCTTATAAAGATGCTTTAATGAAAACTTATGATTTTCGAGGAGCTAGAGCCTTGGAGAAATTTCGGGAGGAACTCCAAAAGAAGCAGACAGCTGTGGAGATTATACCGGTACCGGAGAACTTGGGGACCAAATTAAGGAGTGTGGAGAGAAGCCGACCTTTCCACGAAGTCAACGTCCTCTCCCGACACCAGCCCACAACGACCACCCGTTCCCCAGGGAAGACATCAGTGGAGCTGAAGCAGCTCAAGAGGAAGCTGGGGGTCTACAAGAAGCTGCACAAACCCCGAACTCCTCCTATGGATGCATCCAAGTCTTCGGCATCAATGACGCGCACAGTCGTCAAGGAAACTCCGGGCCCTGGAGAAGAGCCGTTCTCCAAGCAGCTTCGGCCGGCTGCCAGCTCAGGAGTAGATAGCAACACAAAGGTGTGTACGGACTATTGGGAAGTACCCTACGACCCAATCAATGAAACTATCTTTGGGTACTCCGAGCAACGCCTACACCTCGTGCTCGAGGTCATCTGCAAAGGACGACGCCTCCAAGCACTCGTGGACAGCGGAGCATCGCACACTGTATGCGACAAGGCAACCATCGACCGACTTCGAGAAGAGTACAAGCCATCAGGATTTTCTGCAACGATGGTGGACGGCAGCAAGTTACCAGTATACGGCGAAGCAGTGCTACACCTACAAATCGGGCCACTGTGCTGGAGACCTGCACTCCCCATTGATGGAAATCGTGCAAATCTGGAGAGAACTAATTAGAGATTAAGTCTGACGACCTCAACGAATCATTGCGTGCTGCTCAGGTAACTTCTAGAAATGAGCTTATACGCGTTGGAAAGGTCTTAATCTCTACTTTCCAGAATGGTAAAGCACGTTCATAACCAAGATCTGAGCCGCCGATTATGACGAAATCAGTGTGAGGGGGTATTCTGGTAATTTGGCTAGGCAGCCATGAATCACCTAGTAAAAACGAGAAGGGAAGCAGTTCGATCTGGAAAAGTTGCAGGATGTGATTGTCAAACACCACCAACCCTTGCCCTAGACCAAACCCCAACACTCTCAAGTGCCATGACTGCAACATCAAAGATGTTGTAGTGGATTTGAGGTTGTATGGGTTGGAAAGGTAACGAGTTCAAACCTTGCCAACCAACCCAAGTCCTTTTGCCCAAAACCCAATAGCCCACAACCAGCTAGAGCAAACTACACCACAGAATACTACACATTTATCACCCATCACCAACATCAAAGGGCTTGACTTGATCTTCGGGCGAGACTTCCTGAAAAGATTCAACCCCGAGATCAACTGGGTGAACCGCACCGCAAGCATCTACAACAATGGACGGAGAGTACAGCTACCCAACTGGGACGATACAGGAGACATCCCAGTGGGGACACTCGCCAGATTCGAGAAGGACGTGAAGTGAACTGACACCGGGTTCCTGGCGATAGCAACAGAGGTGGAGAATGATGGAGAGAAAGCCTCGGAACCTCCAGAAAAAATCAAGGACTTACTGAAGGAGTTCCAAGACATTCTTCCTGACGATCTTCCGAACGAGCTACCGCCATACCGCACACATCAACACGAGATCGTGGAGGAACCGGGTTCGAAGCCGACCTTCCGAGCACCATACCGGCTCTGTCACAGGATCGAATGTGTCGAGGAAAGGTTGCACTATCGATCAGTACAAGGCGCTTTTATACTTCCAGAGTACATCAAGTAACCAGGTTTATCCTATCTAAAGGAATAGACCCTTCTAGAAAATAGAATCACCCTGCGTATAGCCACGCGAGGCTATTGGTTTTAAGAGATTACGACAGGATTACGCTAGATAGCGTATCTAGAACATTCCATGCTTGGTCGGTGATATAATTATAATAAGGGAAGAAACCAAAGGATAATGGAAAATGGGGAATATGAGGCAAAAGGAGATGAGATAAAAAGAGGAATGAAAAGAAGATGAAATATGGAAAAGGCCAAGTGGTGTAACGGAGTCGTACTCTCACACTTCCCCCCCTCAAAGCTGGGTGGTAGAAGTAACACCCTGCTTGACAAGGTAGTCATGCAGAGGACGACGGGCGTTACCCATGTCGGTCTCAGAGACCCA